TTTGGTCACTAAAATGTATAAAGTTAAGGTTCCAAGCCATTCTGTTAGATTTAGTCGTTAAGTTTGCTAATCCGTTTATCCGCACGATTTTCAAGACAAAAGAAGGGGTTAATTTAGGAAGTTCAACATGCATCTTCTTCTTCTTCTCTATCCGTGCCTCGTATGTCAACCACCCAGAAGCTCTGCTAAAAATCTCTTATTCGCTGCTGTAATTCTAAACTACGGCATTCCAACCATACCCAAACAAACCCTTTTCTTATGATACTTCGGCTGATGAAAGAGTTTCACTAGATTCGAAGGTCATTAAAATCTCTGAAAAATTCTAGTTGATGCTAGTACTATTTTCTTATTGATGGATGCCATGGAGAAAAGTGCCGTTGAGAAGGAGGATGATTGAGGTTTCCTTTCTTTATAGACAATAAGAAGTGTGGAGAGGCCATTAATTTGCTTAATTGTCAACGACACACTTAGCTAGAGGAGTATACCAAGTTGCAAATTTTCTTGCAAGTAGGTTGAAAAGGCATGTTAAACTCCCATCATCGTGGTGCCTTTTTCCAACCTCAGGTCGCCGGAGGGGAGCTCGATTCGGAGACTCTAGATGTTCTCGAACTCGCGGAGGATCTGAGTGGGAGAGTTATGAGTCTTGGTCGGGCTACCAAAATGGGTATGCTTGTTTAGGGAAATGAAAGTATGAAGGGATTTCACGATGGATCAAAGGAAGGCGACAAAGAAGGCTTCGCCATCGTTGTCGTCGGAATCGGTCGTAGAGATGGCTCGATCAACTCGGAGGAGGAGCGAGTCAGCTTGAGGAACCAGCGAATTGAACCTTTTGGAAACGGAGCGGCGGATTAGGGTTTTGATGTTGGAGATTTTGTTGAAGATATGGAGGACAATCGGATTGGATATGGAGTTGAACTCGTCGGACTGATCGAATCCATAAGCCGGGTGCTTCACAATAAGAAGAAGAAGAAGATGCATGTTGAAATTCCTAAATTGACCCTTTCTTTTGTCTTGAAAATCGTGCGGATAAACAAACTCAACGACTAAATCTAGCAGAATGGCCTAGAACCTTAACTTTATACATTTTAGTGATCAAAACCAGACTTTTAATAGTTGAGTGATCAAAACTTGACGATTGCAAAAGTTTAGTGACCGTTCGGATAATTTGTTCATTAATATATTAAGCTATTCATGAAATCTATCGTAAAGATGAACGATAAAGACTAATTTCTCTGAGTGGTTTTGGGTCCTTTATTTCCTTGTATAACATTTTGTGGCTAGATGACACTTATCTATGTAATTTTATTTTTAAATGTCTTTTTAAAATATCCAACACATGAGACTATGAGAGAATCCAAAAGTATCCTTGTTCATGCAATTTTAAACAAATTAAGATCTTTTAAATTTGCATAGTTTTATTTGCTCAAATATTTGGTTGTTTGAGTTTCAATGAGTAGTCTTAATTATTTGGCAAATTTTGTAAAACGAGAATAGGAAAAAAAATTCAACATTTTATAAGAAAAGCATAAGCTCTGGAAATTTTTGTAAATGGGATGCGATTACTATTCCAGAATCATATAGCTATTAATTTAGTATTAAATAATTAAATTACCTCCACAACAATGCTTAGGCACTTTAATTATTTGAAGAATGCGCCTTAATGAATATGTGTACATCCGTACATGCATCTACGCAAACCATAATATACTTATATATCTACGTTCTGTACACACGAGTGCAATGAATATAAGTGTGTATTTGGTGAATTCATGTATACATGCTAATATATACATTCATACGTACAAAAAAGGATTTTTTCTTTTTAAATCTACCTACAAGATTAGTTTATTCACAATCTCCAAATGGTATTCTACTCCCACCTCTAAATTTCTAAAAAATCTACACCCTTTTTATGGATAATTAATCCTCCCATTCCCCTTTGACAAATTTCCCTAATTTTTCTTTGTTTGTTCTCATAGCAAGTTAATTCACACACATACACACACTTTTGCAATACTTTTTTTGTTTTTGTTTTTTTTACAAGGAAACCTGTAACTGCTGCACAAGAATGCACATTAGATAAACCCTATCCCATGCAATAGCTCACTAATCACACGGAAAGATAATACGCACTAAACAAGTCTTGTGCGATGGATAGATATTCTTGGAGAGAAATTTGAACTCGAATTAATAGAAAGACATGACATTAATTTTAGAATCTCGGCCAACTCAAGGACCACTTTTGCATTACTTTACTTATTTGATTCAAAACGTCTTATCATAAAAAGCGAGCAACAAAACCTGCAAAAACTAATCCACGTCCCAAGCTCATGCAATCTCTTCCAAATTAACTTTGATCTAATGACCATATTGCTTGGTTTAAGTTTGGTTGGAATGTACGGTTCGCACGGATACGTGTTGATTAGCGTTGAATTTGGAGTTGGTTGGGGGGGGGACCCTCAATGACTTAGGTGGGCCTTTGGGTTTACTACTGTTTTGTTTTTATGTCTGTGTTTTTTATTTGGCAGGAATTGGTTGTTCTGTTTGTCTGGTTTTTTTTTTCCCCTAATTTTCCTGTCCGGTTGAATTTTCAACTTTTAGCAAGTTTCTTTCTTCTGCGTCAATGTTTTTGTGCTGTTTCATGAAAGATTACCATTGCTTCAATTAATTCGTGGTGCGGAATTTGGTTTCTAATTAACAGCTCAGACAGCATTACCTTACCCATGTATCCAATTGGTTTTCGTGCACAAACATTTGTGATTCCTGCCTCGTTGGGTGGAGATTTCCTATTACTCTTTACGCCCAAACACACAACTAAATACTAGCTAATAGGTAGTGTTCATGCAAAATTCTTCGTTGAATTGTATTGCATGCCCTGTAGGTTCTAAAAGCAAAAAAAAAAGAAAAAAGAAAAAAGGAGTATAGCATTTACTATCTTTAACAAATCTATGTGTTCCACTAGTCTTTCACAATTGATAATAGAAAATAGAACAATTTAAGCAGTTTCAATATTGATATTTAGGTGTTTGTTTAAACTTTAGACGGCAAATTCCGCTTTTGGCCCTCTTTTTTAAGTGTTAGTCTGATTTTAGTCCCTTCTGTTTCAGTTAAAACATATTTTGTCCACATATTCTAGCTGTGTCCTAATTTTGTGGCTGTGTTGAACATTTGGACCCTTCTGCTTGAAAGTTACTCATAATTAATATGCTTGGATAGATATTATTTACAAATAATCAGTTGCTTACATCATTAACGCATTTTCTAATGAACTTTCTCATATTTTCAATCATTTTTTTTATTTTATATACATCACATCATAGAAAAATAGTACAGTAATTATTTCAAATAATTTTCTATCCAAACACATTTAATGTTTTTCTATGATTAATGAGGATGCTCACCTCGGCCATCCCGAGTGGCCGAGGTGAACTCACCACGTCCCTCATCAGAGCTCATCCGTGTCCCGGGCATCATCCCTGAGCTCGGCCTCGGCCGTTTCCCTAGCCTACTGTGTAGCCGACCTCGGCACCCCCACCTCAGCTGCACGCTGATGACGTCAAACCATCTGACATCACCCAGGACCAGTGCTTTATCTGAAAAGCACTGGAGGCACTTAATGGCACCTGCACAATACTCCCCGTCATCATGCCCAGGCAACTACAGTGTCAGAGTCAGATCTCCTGACACGGGACAGAGCCGTAATGACCAGAGGGTGGGTCCCACAAGCATAAGCCCTCCGCTCTGTCCTCTACTCTCCCTCTATAAATACCCCAGACACACTCCCAACAAGTAAGCACACTGTTCATTTGCTTATACTCTTATTATTCTCGTTCTCATACTAACTTGATCGTCGGAGTGATCCCAGGGGTGAAACCCCGCCACTCACTTCGGACACCGAGGTTCACTTCGGACACAAGAGTTCATCTCACTTCATCTCAGAGAGGACTGATCCAGGTCGGTCTAGGTACCAACCGAAAATCACCTCCTCAACTGGCGCCGTCTGTGGGAACGAGACTACTATTACTAAAATGAGATCCACGCGCTCCAGAAGTGGTCGAGTTCCCTCAACTGGGGCTGGGCAGACCTCGGGAGCCCAGCAAGATCACATTTCTGAAGAGCAAGGGTCCCCGAGAACCCAGCCTAACAACGAGGAGGCCATCGCCAAGATGGCCGAGTTCGTATCACACAACCCTACCATTTTTGAGGAGCTAGGAAGGTACCTCAAAAGACAGGGGAAAGAAAAGGCTGAGTCTTCCAAGAGGAGGCCGACGAAGTCCCCTGAGGCACCTTCAGGTGAAGACTCCGATGAGGGGCGTCTCTCTCGGAGTACCTCCAGGCGCGCCCCCTCCAAGGCGACGTCTAAACTTGCCTCCATCTCCCGGGCGTTCTCCCGGGGACTGCTAGGGAAACGAGTTGAGGACCCACCTCGGCGCCCCGAGGGCCTAGCTTCTGACTACATGAGGGCTCCGCCCTTTACGGATGACATCAATGGGGAGATGGTACCCCCGAACTTCAAGCTCCCAAACTTGCACACTTATGACGGCCGAGATGACCCCGAGGATTACCTCCGCGCCTTCATCTCCGCCTTCCGACTCTACTGCGTCCCCGACGCCGTGATATGCCGGGCTTTCCCCATCTTCCTACATGGGACTGCCCGCAAGTGGTTCTGGAGTTTAGAGCCGGGGAGCATTTCCTCCCTGGATGAACTGATAGACCGGTTCATCCACCGCTTCGTGTCGTCCCGACCGATAACCAAGACTTCAGCCTACCTCTTGAACCTGCAACAGGGTCAGGGCGAGTCCATTCGCTCGTATACTCAAAGGTTCAACGAGGAGAATGTGCAGATACCTGACCAGAACGAGTAGATAACTATCGCGGCCTTTACCAACGGATTGGTGGCGGGAATCTTCAACACTGAAATTCATCGGGAGTACCCCCGTACACTTCGGGAACTCTGGGATAGAGTGGACCAGGGAATCCGAAGTGAGGATGTGAACCGCATGAAGCGAGAAGCCCAAGCATCTCGTACGGGGCAAGATCCCCGGAGAAGGAAAGACACTGGCCGAGGTGAACCCGGCCCAAGTAGCACTTCAAACCCACTCCGAGACCGCAGGAGTGTCTTCGACCGGATCGTGAGAGGCCGGTCGTCCACCTCGGACGCTGAGCTGACACCGCTCAATTCCAGCCGATCTCATGTCTTGGCTGTAATGAGGCAGAACCACCTCGGCCGAACACCTCCTGAGATCCCTGAGAGGAGAGATAAGAGAAACTCCAACCTCTACTGCGCCTACCACCGAGACGTTGGGCACGAGACTGAAGATTGCAACGATCTGAAGCGAGAGATCGAAAACCTAATCCGACAAGGATACCTGAAGCAGTTCATCCGCAAAGACGGAAGCTTCAACCGAAGTGTTTCCCACCGGGAGAGCCGAGGTCCTCGTCGAGAAGACAGGCGGGACACCAAGCTTAATTGCCGAGGCCCTGAGGACCACAAGGAGGATCAGAGGCCTCCACGTGACGGATCACCAGGCTACGGCCCATACATTGCCGGGGTGATCAATACCATCTCAGGTGGCCCCACGGGAAGAGACAGCCAGAACTCCCGGAAGCGGACCTACCGCCAAGCCGGTATGGATGTGGCCGAGCCGAGTTCGAGGCTGTCCGAGGTGATAACCTATGGTTCCCGCGACCCTGTCCCCGCTGCCTCCAGCAATCACGAGACCCTCGTGATTGAGGTCCTCACAAACAATTACATAGTCAAAAAGGTATACGTTGACCCCGGAAGCTCGGTAGACGTCATGTACTACCGGACCTTGGAGAGTTTGAAGTTGACCCGGGAGCAACTCACTCCGGTCAGAACTCCCCTTGTCGGCTTCGGGGGACACGTCGTCCACCCGGAGGGCATGGTGAATTAAATGGTGACTATCGGGCGTCATCCCCGTTGCCGAACTGTGCCTGTCAGCTTTGCGGTGGTTAAAACGGACTCTCCTTACAACATGCTGATAGGCCGGCCCACGCTCAATGCCTTGAGAGCCGTATATTCCACCTACCACCTGAGTTTCAAGTTTTCAACACCAGAGGGTGTGGCCGAGGTGAGCAGCGACGTGGGCGCCGCCCGAGAATGCTATCTCGCCACCATCCAAGCGGCAGTCGGACCTCAGCCCCCGCCGAGGTCAGAAGAAAAGAGGCCGGCTGTCCTCTCCATAGACTGCATCGACCCTCAGAAGGCAGGAGAGCCCAGCAGGCTTGAGCCCGGGGATGAGGTGGAACAAGTGGTCTTGGATGAAGCCAAACCTGACCAACTGGTCCAAGTAGGGGCCGGACTCCCCTCACCCCTGAAAGAGGAAATGATCTCCCTGATCAAGGACCACCGAGACATCTTCGCGTGGTCCGCAGATGAAGTGGTCGGAGTGCCACCCGAGCTCATGATTCATCAACTTAACGTCAACCCACAGGCACGACCTGTGCGGCAGAAACGGAGACACTTCGGCCCCGAGCGTAGCAAGGCCATATCGGATGAGGTCGATAAGCTCTTGCCGGCCAAGATGATTCACGAGGTCCAATATCCCACCTGGCTGTCCAACCCAGTTATGGTCAAAAAGGACACCGGTGGATGGAGAATGTGTGTAGACTTCACCGACCTCAACAAGGCCTGCCCCAAAGATTGCTATCCCCTGCCAAGGATAGGCGCCCTCGTCGACTCGGCGATGGGGTATGAAATCCTCTGCTTCCTAGATGCCTTCAAAGGGTATCATCAAATAGGAATAAGTGAAGAGGACCAAGAGAAAACGGCGTTCTACACCGACCAAGGTACTTATTGTTATACTACCATGCCATTCGGGCTAAAGAATGCCGGGGCGACCTACCAAAGGCTGATCAACCGACTCTTCAAGAATCAGATCGGCCGCAATGTGGAGGCCTACGTGGACGACATCCTCGTCAAAAGTCTCGCCACTTCATCCTTCCTGTCAGACTTGAGGGAAGTCTTCGGGGTCCTGCGAGACTCGAGGATGAAGCTGAATCCCAAGAAGTGCGTCTTCGGCGTCACCTCGGGAAAATTATTGGGGTATCTGGTTTCCCACCGGGGAATCGAGGCCAACCCCGACAAAATCAAGGCCATTCAGGACATGTCCCCACCTCGGAACATTCGAGAAATCCAAAGATTGAATGGACGCCTGGCCGCGCTGAATCGCTTCCTGTCCCAATCCGCCGAGAAAGCTCTGCCCTTCTTTAAGGTGCTAAAAAAGGCTGACCAGTTCGCCTGAACTGAGGAGTGTCAGGCTGCTTTCGACCAGCTGAAGCAGTACTTGCATCATCTACCCACCCTTGCTTCACCTCGGCCCGAGGAAAAGCTCTACCTCTACCTCTCTGCAGCCGACGAGGCTGTCAGCGCTGTGCTCATCCGAGATGAGGGCACCCAAGTGCCGGTCTACTACGTCAGCCGAGCTCTTCGCGGGCCGGAGACTCGATACACTCAGGTGAAAAAACTGGTGCTGGGACTAGTCCACGCAGCTCGGCGGTTGAAGCCCTACTTCTTAGCCCATCCTATCTCGGTCAGGACTGACCAGCCCATTCGGCAAATATTGGTGCGACCCGAAGCTTCTGGTCGCCTCACCAAGTGGGCTGTCGAATTGGGAGAATATGACTTGTCCTACGAGCCACGCACCGCCATAAAAGCTCAAGTTTTGGCTGACTTCCTTGCTGAGCTCACCTTCACGGAAGGTCCGGAGTCCACCTCAGCCTTAGCCGAGATGTCCACCTCATCCCTGTGGACATTGTATGTCGATGGATCCTCTAATGGAGACGGCTGCGGAGCCGGACTGCTCCTGGAAGGACCTCAGGGGGAGGCGTGCTCGTACGCCCTCCGTTTTGACTTCCCGGCCACCAACAATGAAGCCGAGTACGAGTCTCTAATCGCTGGATTCCAGTTAGCCCGCAAGCTCGGCGCCCAACAAATCCACGTCCGCAGTGACTCCCAGCTCGTGGTACGCCAAGTTCTCTGTGAATACGAGGCTAAGGATGAGACCATGCAAAGGTACCTCTCCAAAGTTCACCAACTCACCGCATACTTCAAGTCATTCGAAATCCAAAAAATCCCCCGGTCCCAGAATAAGCGAGCCGACGCCTTATCCCGGCTGGCCTCCACTTCATTCTCTGACCTCAACAAAACGATTTTAGTGAAAGTTCTGAGTGAACCCGGATATGTGGAAGAGGTGGCCTGCCCCGTGCACTCCGAAGATACCTGGATGACCCCGTTCATCCTCTTCTTGAGTCAGGGAACACTCCCTGAAGACCGAGCCGAGGCGAGAAGAATACAACGCAAGGCGGCTCGGTACGCTCTCCGCGATGGAGAACTATACAAACGCTCTTACCTCGACCCATGGCTGAGGTGTGTCACTCCCGAGGCCGGACGTCACGTCCTCCACGAGATCCACGAAGGCCTATGTGGGGCTCACGTCGACCACCGGATGTTAGCCAAGAAAGCTATGCTTCTTGGGTATTTCTGGCCATCACTTCGGCAAGACTCCCAGGACCTCGCTCTCAGCTGTCCTTCCTGCCAAGTCCACGCACCCGAGCATCACCAGCCCTCAAATTTCATGGTCCCCATCACTTCACCTTGGCCATTCGAGCAATGGGGGACAGATATCATAGGTCCTTTCCCTAAAGCGGTCGGGGGCTATACCTTCCTGGTGACTGCTGTGGACTACTTCACTAAGTGGGTCGAGGCCGAGTCACTTCGGACCATCTCGGGGCTGGCCATTCAAAAATTCTTTTGGAAATGCATTGTCTGCCGCTTCGGCATACCTCAGATCATCATCTCGGACAATGGGAGACAGTTTGCCGAGAACCCCTTCAAGACCTGGTGCGAGACCCTCGGCATCAAACAACACTTCACTTCGGTAGGCCACCCTCGGCCAATGGTCAAGCAGAAAACTTCAACCGGACTCTCCTGTATGGCCTCAAGACCCGACTACACCGAGCTGGGTCATCTTGGGTGGAGGAACTCCCCAGTGTCTTGTGGTCATATCGGACCACGCCGAGGTCAGCGACGCAAGAGACCCCATTCTCCCTGACCTACGGCGCCGAGGCTGTCATCCCGGCTGAGATCCTTACTCCCAACCCTCGGCTGGCAGCCTATGCCGCCGAGGTGAACGACGAAGAGAGGCAGCTGGACCTCGACCTCGTCGAAGAACGAAGGGACCTCGCCTCAGCCCGGATAGCTTCATACAAGAATACACTGACACATTATTACAATGCCCGTGTCAGACATCGTAGATTCCGTCCTGGAGACTTGGTTCTCAGGAAAAATTCAGTCAGCCGAGTTGAGCCGCAAGGGAAATTATGCCCGAAATGGGAAGGCCCTTACCGAGTTGTGGAATCTGACCCTAAGAGGTATTGTAAACTGAGCTACCGAGATGGCTCATTAGTGCCGAGGTCTTGGCACGCCGAGAACCTTAGGTTGTATTATGCTTGAAGTTATGACTTCATTCAATTATTTCATCAAAGTTGACTTTATCCAGTTATCTTGTCAAGCTATGACTTCGGCTATTATGTTATTTTTCAACATCGTTATTACGCAGTTAAAAAATAAGGGGGACAAGCAAGGGAAGAAGTCAAAACAAGAAATTGAAATGCTGAGAACAGAAGGAATAGATTTCATTCAACAGAAAAGAGCGTTACAAAAAATACAAGGCCGAGGTCCGAATGCTGCTAAGCACTCTCCACCTCGACCACCCCCGCGAAGCCTATGAGCCTAGACCCCCGTCTCGACTCCATTCCCGGTCTTGGCTCCCTCCTGGACAGCCTCCTCTTCGGCCTCTTTTCCGCCGGGGTGTTCATCTCAATGCTCTTTGCCGATGTCCCCTCCGACTTCGTCCCCGGCGGCTTCGTCTCCCTCAGCGTCCTCTCCTCCAACTTCTTCTACTTCCACCTCCTCGAACACATCGTCGAGTTCGGACAGCCACTTGTTGAACTCGACCTAGACTTCGGCCAAATTCCTTCCTGCCTGAATGCCTTCGGCCATCCGATCACATAACTCCTTGGAGTCCTCATTGTAGCTGTCATGGTTTTTCAAAGACTCCAAGGTTTCGGAGGAGAGGTGAGCCGCAGCCTCATTAATGGCCGATGTGAAGCCAAACATGAAGTTAGGCGTAAGCAGTTGGCCGAGGTCCTTGATGAAGGCATCGGACCTTCGAAACGCATCCACTGCCGAGGCTCCAGCACCCTCGAGAGCTTGTGCGTGGGACTTCTTCACTTCGTCCCCCCTCTTCTGCTCCTCCTCGAGGGCTGATCTGAAACTATTCATCGTAGCCTCGTCCTCCTCACCCTTAGCTTCAGCCTCTTGAAGTCGCCTCTGAAGCTCCGACTTCTCGGATTCGGACACCGCCAGTTGTTTCTCCAACTTGGAGATCTGAGTCTGCAGCTTGCCGGTGTCCTGCTTCTCGACCAGAGCACAGTATCTGTGAGCCATCTCGGCCGCAAAAGCTGAGTTGGAAGCCGTGGTCACCATCAGACTTTGAACCATCTCGGCCGGGCTTAGTTTTTTCATGAACTCCAAATCCCTTGGCAGAGTGGAGTGCATTACTAGCTCTTGAGCGACCCGAGGATGTTGGCACCTGTCGTTGACCGAAATCTTCCAGTTCGGACACCAATGATTGCCGGAGTGCGTCTTCTCGTCTCCGGGAAACACTGGGGGGCTATGGAAACGATTCCATAGCGAGGTCCCCGACACCGGATTAACTGGAGGCTTCAGCTGCTTGCCTCGGCCAGAAGGAGGTGTGACTGTTGTAACAACTCCAAGGGGAACTCCCTCTGGTACAGATGAGGTGGACCCAGTAGCCGCAGTGGCCAAGCTGCTCTGGCCAACCTTGGTGGGAGTGCCTTTAGGCGCCGAAGTCTTAGCGGTTGGTCCTTGTGACTTCTTCTTCTTTGGCGGAGGTGCTGAGGTCTCGTCAGTGCTCTTCCTCTTCTGCCTCTTTGCCACTTCGGACGCGCCAGAGACGACGAGGTCGGACAGTTTAGTCACTGAACAAGAAATAAATATTATCATATGCCTTAACCGAAGTGAAAGCAAAGTTACGAAAGAAAAATTACAAGGTATCTCAAGTTCAGTGGAAAAGAAGGGAGGCTTGGTAGTATTGATCACGGCTCGACTTATCCCCCCATCCACGAGCACGGCTTCGGGGTAATCATGGCTGAACAGCCGAAGTCCCGACTTCATCAACTTCTGGAAGGATTCCTCTTCGGCATCCCCCGCCGAGGGGTCGGCCTTCGCCTTAATTGGCCTCCACCAAAAATCCCTCGGGAAGTCCACTCCGGACACGAAGAAGTAGTCGCGCTTGCAGTTCTTGATCGAGCTGGGAGCACCGATCACCAACTTCGGGATGGCATTGTTTCGATTGCCAACATAAAACCATCCTTTATCCGTCCCGTGCGCCTTGAGAGTATAGCATCGGCGGAAGAGGTCGACGGAGGGAGTCACCTCCTGATGTCGGCAAAGCATCTCGAACCCCACGATGATGCGGATCGCGTTCGGGGTGAGTTGGGTGATCCTCACACCGAAGTGACGAAGCAAATCCCTGAGGAACCTCGACGTCGGCATCCTCAGCTCGGCCTCCAGCTGTTGAACGTAGACGGCTACCATGCCGTAGGGGGGCTTCGCGGCTGTGTCATCCACCTCGGGCGGCAGAATTTCGTACCCCGGCCGGAATGGGTACTTGTTCACTACCTTCTGGGCCCTATCTCGTCCTACGCGACTCCTAAACTTCGGCATCTTGCCAAAGTCAATGTTGACCACATCCTTAGGAGCAACGGGCTCCAATACGTTCTCATCGTGCGGAATCTCGACGCCGAGCTCCTCGTTATAGTCCACCATGGAACCCTCTTCGCTCATCTCGGACGACTCCAACTCTGAGGTTGTCTCTCCGACCCTCATCTCGGACGACTCCAACTCTGAGGTTGTCTCTCCGACCCTCACCTCGGTCGACCCCTCTGAACTCGGTGTTGACCCCTCCGAGCTGGATGTCGTCGCTTCTTCCTCCGGATTCGGCCTCACCTCGATCTGGTAGCCCGGTGTCACGGTCTCCTTGTGGGTTTTAGCCGTTTTGGCCATGAGTGAAAGGCGAGATAAGAAAGAAAAGGGATACTTACTATTGTCTACGGAACTGGACGAAGTGGATGACTTCGGCTGTGACTTCGGCTGGCAGGATTGATCTCGGCAACAGACGTAAATTTGGCAAGTCCCAGGCAGAGGAAGAAAATGATGGGCCATGCGGTGAAAAGGACCCCCTATTTATAGGAGGGGGCCAGAACCCGAAGAGGCAGCCAGAATACGGAAAGGCGGCAACTCTTCGAATTCAAGATACTGAGTACCTGCCCTTCTGTCTCTCTCTCTTCATTAATGCCCCGTCCTTTCGGCTGACACCCACTGCACGAAACGTCCCACTACTTCACGACGCGACGGTTACCAGTGACCACGTCCTATCAACTGACTCGCCCACGTGTCGCGTCCCCGCATCTTCCGGAGCGGTTTCGGGACCTCGACTCTTCATGACTTCAGCACAAGGAAGCCTCGGCACCTCCCTTGCTCGGAGCATCCGAGGCTTGGGGGGCTTATTGAGGATGCTCACCTCGGCCATCCCGAGTGGCCGAGGTGAACTCACCACGTCCCTCATCAGAGCTCATCCGTGTCCCGGGCATCATCCCTGAGCTCGGCCTCAGCCGTTTCCCTAGCCTACTGTGTAGCCGACCTCGGCACCCCCACCTCAGCTGCACGCTGATGACGTCAAACCATCTGACATCACCCAGGACCAGTGCTTTATCTGAAAAGCACTGGAGGCACTTAATGACACCTGCACAATACTCCCCGTCATCATGCCCAGGCAACTACAGTGTCAGAGTCAGACCTCCTGACACGGGACAGAGCCGTAATGACCAGAGGGTGGGTCCCACAAGCATAAGCCCTCCGCTCTGTCCTCTACTCTCCCTCTATAAATACCCCAGACACACTCCCAACAAGTAAGCACACTGTTCATTTGCTTATACTCTTATTATTCTCGTTCTCATACTAACTTGATCGTTGGAGTGATCCCAGGGGTGAAGCCCCGCCACTCACTTCGGACACCGAGGTTCACTTCGGACACAAGAGTTCATCTCACTTCATCACAGAGAGGACTGATCCAGGTCGGTCTAGGTACCAACCGAAAATCACCTCCTCAATTAACAACATGATAATGCCAGTGGATTTAGGAAAATTTATTGGTCAAGACAAATATTTTGTCTGTAGTAAAAGACTCATTAATGATGAAACAATAACGTTTCAAGCGATATAGAATTTTTGGAAGAAATTATTAAGAATAATGTAGGACAAGAAATTGAAATCTGATTTTGACATTTCTTTTCTATATGACACATACGGTTGGATGTCTGGTTCATATAACTTCAACAGTCGGATCAAAATGCCTATGGAGACGAAGCTTGTGTCGCCACCAGAGAATCACTAATGATTTTTTTTTTCTCCAAACATCATACTCATTTTATCAACTAAAGATGCAGATACAAAAATCATTTGATAGTATCTAACTTTTCTTCCTTCTATTGGAGGCTCACGAACTCCTCCAGTTTTTCTTTCCTGGAAGAACATTTTTGCTTCAATTTAAAGAAATTTTAAGACAAAAGCAGCTATTGGTCTTTCCTAATTTCGTGATCTCCGGGTCTGTATTAGTTTGCGAAGATGATATCTTGGAAAATTAGTACAGATCGTTGCAAATGGGACAGTATCAAACAATTATAAGTTGTCTTAATATAGTGAATTGACCTCGAATTTTACAAGCTAAAATTTTCAATATGACTACTTATAAAATCCCATATCATAGTGTGACTTCACATTTTGTGGCCAACATTTGAGTTAAAAAGGTGAATTAAGACATGAATCAACATCTCCGAACCCCAAAAATATAGAAATTTCTTCACCAATACAATTTTCCGGAAAAAAAGAAGAAGGAGAAAAGGCTTGATCAATATTATTTATATTGTCATTGGCGTGTTTAACAGGTTATAAGTCAATTGTGTTGTCATTGGCGTTGGCGTGTTTAATGGCTTGTTGGCGTGTTTGAAGAGTGCTTAATGGGTTATAAGTCCTTAACTTTAGCTTGAAACTTGAAAGTAGCATCCTTCTTGCACCCATTGGCACGGCATTTGGATAGCATTCTAATTCTAAAGGAGTAGTCTCCTCTCCATAATCCACTCTCTCAAATTTTCCTAAATATATCTTCGGATAACAGACACATTTATAAAGTAATTTTCAACAATTGACTTTAGCTTTTTTAACCATGTTGCTTAACCTTGGTTTTTCTTTGAAAAACAAAAAACTTTTTTTTTTGTCTTTCTTTAAAAATTTTTCTATGGAAACGCCTAGGTTTTCCTCTTTCTTTCTTTCAACTCTAATAATTCTAAAAGAAAAGTGACACTAAGATTTGATTATTGACAGGTGTTGAGTCTGTGCAATAATAATTACTAAAAAGAACTCATTTTGAAAGAGAGGATATTTAAGAATGCATTGAAAATTTTACAAGAATCATGCTCTTTCCTTTAAAACTATGAAGATGCTATAAAAAAAAAATCAATCTTCATCAAAATTATCATTATCATCTTCATCACAATAGAACATGTCTTCCTCATTTTGATCCTGCTCTTCATCTACTTCTATGGTAATATCATCTTCCATATAATCCTCGTTCAGCTCCTGCTTATTAACATTGTTCATTCTGCTTCATTATCCTTCTTGTTTGCATATTTTCCAGAGGCATTGTGGTCATTGCGGGGAGGTTCCATACGAGGCTTTTTGGTGCTTGGAGGCGACTGCACAGACATAAACTCTTGTACAAGTCACTAGGAGAACTAAATACAAACTTAAAAATATAAGATCAAGCAAAGAAACACTAGCCATAATTGGACCGAAGGCTGGCAAAAGAAACACATTTTGAACGAAATCAGTAATGAAGTAAACTACATTCTCCTTACCAAAGCTGATATATCAAACCTTCCAAACCAAATAGAACAGGAGAAGAACTGAATCTAATACCTAATCAGAAAAAAGATTATCCAGCCCTGCGACTGCAGTTGGTTCGTTTTGAGATTGTTCGACGTAGCTCAACTAGACTCGGCATAGGTCGAATTCAAAGTGAACCCGTTTCCTAAAGCTCAAACTTGACTCAATACTGATCCACAAGATTGAACTCAAGAAATGTTATTATGTTTTTGAATTATAATTATTGTTGGAGTAGCGCAATCTTTCATGGACTAAAAATACCACAGTTGCTAGAGGATGTAATTAAAGCGCATTAAAGAACACACATTCAGGAACGGAGAAAGCATGAAAGCAAGATTTATAACTAGTCTTCAAAATCTGGGAAGCGAAAATGGACTATCCACTCTACAGAGCCCAAACCTTTTCTAACAGAAAAAGCTTAATCAAGTGAAAAAAAAGTACAGAGCTTAACACAATGGATCTTTCATTATTTCAAACAAAGGAGCACCGATTAGATGTCAAAAACCACATTACATATAAGTTATCCTACATCTGCTAAGCAGTCCAACTTCAATCCAAACAGCCTTATCTCCATTCTTTCCCCATGTTCTGCACTAAACTTTAAGATGATCCTATCAGAAACTTGACATTTTGCTCCTAAGCAACAATGTTTGGTGAAGAAAACCAACTTTGAATTTCTAAAAGAGGAGAAAATAGAATATCAGACTTCTTTCTTCCCCACAAATGATTATTTTCTGATTCAGGTAACTTTGTGCTCTCATTATACATTATACACAAATATTATGCTTATATGTAAGTTAAAGCCTTTTAAATGTTCTGGAAAATAACCGTTTCTTTTATCTTAGACTAGTTGTTATGGATCAAAAACTTCGTTAAGCATTATCGCTTTCATGTTAATCAAAAACAGATGGCCACCACATATAGTTCTGGCATGTGAAATCAATTTTGTTGAATGAAGTATCATTTCCTGCCACAATGTAACTTGCATCTTGTCCAAATATAGTGGAAGTGAAAGGCTAGTCTTGATGGCTAAAATTAACTGAAATGATAAGGACTATCAATCAACGGGATATATTCCAGAAGAAAGCTAGTAAAAGGAATTAAGTCATATAGATTGACATACACTCTCATCAAATAGTTTCTCCAGAACGTCATAATTAATTTTCGAACTTAACCCCTGCAAAACATAGAAAACCGAAAAACTTGAAGAAGTGTGATAAAGAAAAAATATGAGTAGAACTTAATCCTATTTCACAGTTTTTGGATAAGAAAAGAACAAGAAGAGTCTGCTGCTATATAATCTTTCATAAACTAATCCCATAAGGTCTCGTGTGGCATACCTTTTTCATCAGCATCTGACGGGTTGCTTCAGCAGCAGTTGGAGCTGGGCCAGCATTTTTAGATTCAGCTCTCTTCAGTTTTCGTTGCTGGGAGTCCATAAGGTGCAGCAGTAGTAAGTTCACTAATCAAGAACCACCACAAATATTATATTGCAAATACCTTAATTAATCACTTTTCAATTGTCATTCATTTGAAAATATTTGCTAAGCATTTTAAGGTAATTGAGAATTTGACAAATAGCCAGTTACAGTGCAACATATGTCAGAGTCAAGGATATCCTAGTACCAAAACAAGATCGAGTTTGTTTCTTCTCCGAAAGAAGAACACATTTGTTGATGAAAGGTAACATAAACTCAAGTCCACTTGAAAATGGATATCTCCATGTATGATATGTATGCTTCTTAAACAAACTCTACTTTGATAGGATCTATAGCACATTTTCCACCACTTCATAGCTTGTAATCCATTGCTGTCAAAACCTGGAACTATATTCTCCCTCTCTTGGTTGCCCCCAGGGGGGAGGGGTGGTGCAGTTAGAGAGAGAAAAAAAATCAAGACAGAAGCTTCACAGACATTCTATCACCAGAGAAGTTCCAATTGATTGGGATAAATATGTCCAGGATAATGTTTCGAAAATACCAACTACGTACATAGCAACTTACATCTCTTGATTTTGCCACAGCAGCAGCAGCTGCAGCTGCAAGTTTCCGTGCTGCAAGGACATCATCTGTAACTTCACCACAATCTCGTAAAGCAGCAGCCACTTCCTTAGCTGCTTGTTCCTGAAAACATTTAGCAGTTAACACTCTTTTCTCATCAATAATTTCACAGCTTGTTCTCGAACTGCTTCAGCAAATCATGGATGAAAGTTACCAATGTCAGAAAATCTTATTCACCTTAACGTATTCCTTATTCATTTGTTCCCAGATAATCTTCTTATAGTGGCTTTCTTCCTTACTATTAAGGTAGGAATTGACCTGCAATACAAAATCATGAGTGTGTGAAACAAAAACTTTGATTATTACATTATCCGTAATTTGTCCCCCTCAATAAATGAGCGAATTCAGCCATCTGAGTCATACCTAAATTTACACAAAAATATGCCCATGGAAGAACAACAGAGAGCATCATTAAAGAAATAATAATGAAACAAAAGGAGTGCACACGAAATGAATGAGGTATATTTGAACTATGCAATGGTGCCAAGGTCAGGCCAATACTGTATCATGCTTGAACTAGAACAAACTATTCCCTTAAGGAAAACCATAGGCATAGACAATGGGTTATGCGCACACCTTTCTGACTGATTTACTCACCTCTACATCATCAATATCAGAAAGGTTATCTGTCTCAACTGTGACAGATGGAATATCGTCATCTTTGCGAAATGTGTCATCACAACTTTTGTCCAGATTCTGAGGGGCAGCTGCCGGAATAAGGACAAAAGTCAGAGGTAAGAACAACATAGGCCTGCCAGGTGGGAGAGAATTTCAAACCAATACCATCAGACACTTACAAGCACTTGCTGACACTGGCACCGCTTCTTTCTCATGGTTACAACTATCTTGATTTGCCTGATCAGTGCTTCCTTCCTACAAAAATAACTTCTATAAGGTCAGAGTACCAAAATTAAAAAAAAAAAAAAAATTCAAATTAAGTACTCATGCATATGGAAAGGATATATGCATATTAAACTTTTTCTTCCATAGAAATATTCTCGAGTGCTTGGTTATGTCAACAACAAAGTTTCATCAGCTCAATTTTGGCATTAACTGAAGCTGCAAACCCTCCAATTAGCTAAATAATCCTTAAAAAATAAATCAACAGTATAATTTGAAATCTTATCTTCTCATGTGCAGGTTAAATTGCCCTGTCAGAGGCCTTTGCTTGTTTTCTACAATGTTAAATTACAATCTCATACTAAAATTTGAGCTTGTACAATACAAATGACAACCTTATCTAAAAGCTCTAAGATTATACAGAGGCAAGTCATTGTTTACTTATGCATTTATTAATTGATGACAACCTCAACTGAAAAATTAGTCAAGAAATGAGAAGTTCCAAAAAACTTCCACAGTTGATATTTACTCTTTAAGTGATTTCATGGCCTTTAACGTGCCAAGGGAGAAAATTTATTCATTATCAGGGACACACTTAACAAGATAGCTCAAAGTTGTTACTTAAGCTATTAAATTTATCATATAGTTTTGAGTGCATGTTTCATGTATAAATAGATTCATTTCAGACACTGCACATCATTCAGATGGTGTCTCTAATCGTTTACTACATAGTCACATTTTATTATAGCACTTATCATATCACCACCAATGGTCACAAGAATTTTTGATTCCCAACCTTCTCAGCAGATGCTCGGGCTAATCTATCCCTTTCAGCAACCTGGAACGCTGGAGGTTCACATCCTTCATCAAGTCCACCAGAGAGTTCAATGAACTGGAACATATGAGAGGAGCATAAATCACATCCAAAATAAAAGTTACGGGAAGGGAAGGAAAAAGGCATAGAACTCACATCTTTATAGCAGCTTCTGCAAAGCCCATGAGCAAAATGAGGTTCTTTTCCTTTGTGTTGGCAAAGCACTTCCTTTTTGCCAGACTCCTGCAGGTATATATCTGGTGATGTGGATGAATGATTCTCCTTTTCAAACTCTTCCGCATTCTGATTGAATTCCTCAATCTGAAAAGAGATTGTGTTGAGGAAGTATGAGCCTCAAGACATATTAAGAAAACTGATCACAAATGGAAATTCTAGAGACAAGAGGCAAAGAAAAGGAGAGTGAAAAAATTTTTCCTCTTTTACATAATCCTCCATCAGTAAAGACAAATTCCATTTTTATATCATGAGAATTTTTGCAAGTCAATCCAATAATTTCTTAACATCAATCTTAACTAACTTCAAGCAACAGCCAAACATGACAAAATCCAAAAGTAATAAACCCAAAAAAGATTAAACCTATGCTCAACATGGGCTATGACTAACTCCGTTTTAGGTCCTTTTAATGCCACCAGCTCTCCACCATCTCCCATGCATATTTCAGACCTCACAAATATCTCTTTCAGAAACCTCCAATATAAATGACAAACAACATCCACTATTCCAAAACTAAAAGGGAAAGACGACCAAAACATCACTCCACAAATTTCCATAGTTAGCCTATCTTAGACAGTCCTCTATATTAGCCTCAAGAGAAACAAGTCACTCTGCTTTATATAGTGAACAATCTCTACGACTCCAGGAGTCTCATGGTACCAAGATTTTAAAAGTGGCTTTTAATTGCACAAAGGTTATAGAAACAAGGATTGAGGACAAAATCCATTATTTTTGCTTCAGACCTTCGTAACCACAAGCAACAGCATGCAACTGCCTTATGGCTAATGCCTTTTATTGACAGTGTCTATCCTTTTATGTTGATAAGAGATGATAAGCAAGGCAGTTGAAGAAGTAGGAAAAAAGAAAAGGGAAGAAAAAATAAGACATGCCCTAGAATCTTACTCTTGCAGTTGCTGCCACTTCCCTGTCAATGAGAAAAGCACCTTAACCCTTTTATTATTCCTTTCGCCCTTTTGAAATAACAACTGTTCCGACCATTACTATTCTCGTAGCACATAACAAATATGTCCTTTTGACTTGATTTTTTCCAAAACATCCTTAACAGCCCATATTTTATTCATATCTTTGTCATCATCCAAATAGAAGTACAGTTTCCAACATCAAGGTCATTAAAAAAGATCGATTGATAAAGAAACACTCCAAATAAGTTGCACAGGGAAGCAAGTGAAGAATAAGATAGTCTTGATTGGTCTTAAAACTGTAATTATAAATCATGATTGGGATAAAGCAAGAACCATTTAAAAACACATATCTCAGTTTATACACACGATTCCCATGACTGCAGGGGTTAGCAAGTTGACCAAAAATAGAAATTATGCTATTATAGCTCCCTTGCATCTCTTTTATAGCTCCCTTGCACCAAGTTTTGCAACAAAAAGAACCATCATTTCAAGGGCCGATACCATTTTGCACATGCTTAACTAAAACTCATTGCTAAATTAAAATCAAAGACCATAAAACCATACGTCCTAATCAGAACAAACCTAGAAGAGATCCCAAATGATTAACCACATATATTATCTCATATACTCAAATGACGACACTAAACCATTGTAGCCTGTGACTGTAAACCTTCAGAAAGACAATAGGCAATGCTTACATTTCTTTAATGAAACCACTTTTAAGTGCTAATCTAATAGCATAAGAGGTTTAGACCAAAGTGAGATCCTGGAACTTCATGCTTGCTCATGTAGTATTTCCAAATTATACCAGTACAACTTTAACAAGGCAATAATGTATTCTTGGATAATAGCAACTTCTAATTTCCACCTGAATAAGTAAAGGGCTAACTGTTGACATGAGAAGGGAAAAAGGAATGAAAAAAAACAAAGAAACAAAAAGAGCCTGTCACAGAAGATCAGTAAATATATTATCCCTGATGCCTTTGCTTAAGACACTTTCTGGATGTGGCAGTAGTACAGAATGATCCATCTCAATGCAACTATGTAAATGAACTGCTATGTCACAAGAAACCTACTGTTGTTACATAAGCTACACGGTTCGATGCTAGCAGATCATGCTTGGAAGAGCAGGAACTTACTGTTAAGCTTCCAGATTTTGTATTCTCAAACTCAACCAACCTTTTGGTCAGTGTTGCTTCACATATATGAACAATTTTCACCTAAAAACAGTGGAAGGGTGAATAAGTTAGAAATTCATGCAAATACATGTGAATCTCAATCACTTTTATAGTTACTTTTTTAAGCAAGAATTCAGTCAGCTTTACCTTAAAAATCAGTTAGATTTGAACATTAATAGAAGAATCTGGAGCAAGAATCTCTATTTTTAGCACTAAATAACTTTCCTTCAAATTGCATCATTTTAGATATAAAAGAAAGTTATGAGGATAGAGTACAGAATGCATCTATGAGGCATGATAGACAAAATCCAACTATAGCAGGCAAAAATGAGAGGGTTGCCGGTGTTTGCCGGGGGTGGGGGGTGAAATAAGAGCGAACCTACTGACAGAGTCTACACCAAGGAACTGTATAAGCTTCTTTACAACTTATTACCATGTTCCAGAAACATCACTATTTAACACATGAACAGCAATAAACTTGAAACAATTGTGCAACAATGCTAACACACTGACAAATTAACTTCTTCAGTTTGTAGTTTGCAGGACATCCATTACCAGAAATCTTATCAAATGAAAAAATTTAAAACAATAGGGATGGAGGAATAGCATATTACTTCACAACAATCTCTTCAATTATCATTTGTGATATTGTCACTCAAGTGAGCTCCAGTAAGAATATAAGAGTGTTTGGTTATATCTGGTAAAGAAATATTTAGAAATGGCAACACAATGTCACTTACAATTTCTGACTTTGAGTAACTACACCCATGTGAAAGTGCAGAGATGTACAATGCAGCACCGCATATCCCACTTGGTTTTCTGCCTGTCTGTAAAGGATGTAAACCAAATTGATAATTCATCAACACCTCATACAATAGCCAACGCACAACAAAGAAGTATATGTTAACTACATGAAAGAATGATAGCAAACCTGCATCCAGTCTCGCTTCATGCTGGCAACTATTTGCAGTGCTGTCTTCCAAACCTTATTTTTATAGTCGCCTTTCATTAAAGCTAATGCAGATATAAATATTAATAGCGTGCAATGATAAAAGGAAGGTGATACTATCTATTTTAAACCATCTCAACAATGTATGTTGTAGGACTTGAATGATCGAGAATATAAGACGTGACTATGAGGAGGGATCACGCAATGTTTGTAATGGGAGCAACAAAGCACCTGCACCAACCACTGAACTTGCAAAGAAACAAATATTTCTCCAATTTAACCAAAAATTAAAAGTGGATTGGAACTTCTAGTGTATTAATAACTCATGTTTGAAGAGAGTCTTCCCACCAATGACCTCAAAAATATATTCATACAAAGAAAAATGACAATAATAAGAGTAACTAGCATCCTTGATGATTGTACTTAAAGTTGGTCAGACCATGAGCAATGAGGTGAAACCATATAAGAACCTTGATAAAATCCCTTGTAGATCCAACAAACATCTCCTCTCTCTTTATATTAACTATATTTGATTCTGATAGAAGAAAGGTTCAATTCAGCTAGTTTAACATATTCAGGTCCTATAAATGGATAAGCCATTGAGTTCTGTCAAGAATGCCACGTGATTTAAAGATAGAGTAAATTCTTGTATGGAAGGAAAAGAATGATGAATCAGAAAGAGGAAAAAATGCAGGATCTTGTTTTTCGAAAGCATTGAAGTTGGAGAGAAATTAATGAATAAAGACACCAGAAACAAGGCCCACAATAAGTACGTTGCAACCAACATTACCTTATAACTAATCTAGTCTATGTACGATCTACTTTTTGCCTGTCTATGTACAATCCATTTTTTGTAGATGAATAATTGCTAAATAACTCAACTTCCACCAAAATTACAATTAGAGAACAGCATTGAAATTTGTCCAACATAACACGAACGCATAATATGGTTAAAACTTCAGAAAGACACTGGAACCTTACCACTTGTAAATCGATGCATAAAAAGGCTAGGATCAATAGGTTTCTGAACAAATGGATGCTCTTCAAAGTTCAAAACTTTGCAAAGCTGTAGATAGACAGCTCCCAACACATAACTATAACATAAATTACCGTTGTTAGTCACAAACGTAAAAGTCTTCAGGCAACTAAAGACACTAAAGATGTATGTATGAAGCAGTAAATTTCATCAAAAAACATTGGAAGGGGAATCTAAACCAAGAAAACAAGTAAATATGACGTCATAATGGGAATTCTCTTACACATTTACACTCAACCAAATGGAAAAATCAATAAGTAAGTATGGCTTGTCATTGGCCCTACAATAAACAAAAAGATAACAAGGTATTAGCTGTCAGACAAAGAAATACTGGAAATACACAGCAGCATACACTTGGTCATGTACAAGGGCATCAAAATACATGAAGTTAATATTTGTCTTTAGACTATGAACCCAAAACTGAATCTATTATATTTTCAAGCAATGATCTAGGGGTATTGAAGTACTTCAATAGCCTCCCTCATGCATTTTTATTTCATCATCAAAATGATACAGAAAAAGAAGAATGTACGTAATGTTGACAAATTCTTCACTTATATAATACTAAAACTGAGTAATAACTCAAGGAAAGAAGAATTTCAAATTTTCGGGGAAAAGTTAGATTGCATTTTAAAGACCAATCCCATGACAACTACGAACAGTTTATCCTATCCTTAAAAGACAATTCATTGACAATTCTTCTAAAAGTTGAGCTACTTTATGGTTCTAGCAAAATACCCATTTGAGCTAACATGTTATAAATTGATCTATCACTTCTTAGCATTAAATCTTGTCTGTTGACATATAGAAGATCATTCAAACCAATTTCAATAGCAGAGCAGGTGACAAGTGTGTTAACATGCTTTAGCAATTTGTTTGCCAAATTGTCCAGAGGCAAAAGAGATTGGACTAATAGCATCAACCAACAAAAAGGGCACGACTCCCTCATAAGAAAACGTTGTTCACCATACTTTATATATCTCAACTGCTAGTGACTATGTACATCATTACAATTAATTTTCAAAGACAAGTTAAAACGGGAGGATATATTGGAACAGCATGAAAATGGATTAGGAAAAAGAATGTGAAAATGCTTCTACAAATGAGATCTTGGACATATACCTGTAAAACCCCAATTTAATTGGAGGCAATATCTTAGATGCAAATAACTACTACAGCATTAAACAATTGAAAATATTGGTTGTGGATCTAATACCCAGTAAAAGAGACAGTTTAGAGGAATTAAGACAATGAATTTTAGCTATTATGTTAGCAATAATAACTTCATTAACTGCAAAACATAATTACCAATTCCACTGGAGAAACAAATTATAGTCCAGACACAAATTGCACGAGTTGTTACTTTCACAGCCCACTAGGATTATCCCTAGCAACAACTTGAATCAAACCTTCTGCCATTTGAATATTCATACTGTATATCAAGTAAAAGCATCCCTTAATTTGTGGTGTCCCTCCCTCTTTAATTTCTTTATTTAAAATATAAGCCCTACTTGTAAGGCTGATTCTGTGACTCCATAAATATTGTGACTAAGAATAACTAACCATGTACTTAAAGACAGACATTGGAGGATTCATTTTTTCCTGTAATTAATAAATTTTCTTGAAGTAGTTTCAAACCAAATCTATTTATCTTCCAATTTTATTAGTTGTACACACGTTTGGTTGACGTGATGACTGGTGATCATCGTTACTATGACATCTAAACAAGTATCACACCACTGTAAAGTGACTGCAACATAGCTTAAAGTTGCTTTTGCTTGTCCTGATTTATGTTAGTATGGCCAGTAGTTTTCATAGATAGCTATCAAAGGTTGTAGGAAACCATATGTCCACCCTCCAGTCTCAGACTTAGAAAGCTTTTGTGTATTTAGTTGCTTGTATATACATAACAATGGCAAAGAGGAAAAAGCATGAGTTTATGAATGGCTATGTTGGCAGCAGGTTGTCACAAAAGAGCTGAGTGGTTATTGTTAACGACAAAGATGAGGGAAAATTTAACTTGGTGTTAACTTGGAACTAATTTATGAAGGGAATCTTAACTTATGAAATACTCTACCGATCTTCTTGTAAACCTCTTAGTTGAAATCAGATTAATTGTTATCAAATTTCCATTATTTCTTCCATTGGAACCCGAATAATCTGTCAAACCTTATCCAGAATGAGTAAAAACCTAAATAGCAAATGTGGGAGAACCTAAAGTTGGAACCACTCCCGCAATAAGAATGAAACCTTATTTACTGCTAAGACAACTAACCGGAAACAGCAGATTAGATTTCTGCAAAAGATACTACATCATATAATGAAGTCAGTGGATCTCAAGGTAAGCCTTGTAAAAATACACAACTCAATCTTTGCCTTTTAATACCTGTATCAAGAATATCAATATTTACCAAAACCAAGCCAGACATAATTGCTTTAGCAAGTTGATGCTTTAATACCACAGCATATATGCCAATTATCTTCATCAGGTCAATGCCATAATATCACTCAAACTAACTTTCCAAAGGTATTTTTAAGAAATATCCGACTAATTGTTGCTGAAAGAAAAAGAGAGCAGCTGACCTGCAAGCAATGTAGAGGCAAGCTGCTGCAACATGAGCAGTTCTACGTCCTTTGGTGAAACTACGCTCAACTGCAATCTGCAAGATCTCAGGCGTACCAATAACTGATGGAAATTGAAATATCACCAAAAAGAAAAAGGAAGAATACGAAAACCAACCCGATAAAATGAAGCTGCTTGTGCACCTAAAGACTCGTCAGGGATATCCAGTTTTATCATCAAATCATTAATTTGCCTACTTCCTGCAAAGAGTAATGATACCAGATAAGTGAAGACTGCTGAAATAACACAAAATAATCCTTTACTGCATTAAAAGAGCATGCAGATCATTCATACAGCCAAAGAGAATACATAGCTTTGTCCAACAAAAAGAAATTTGATGACATAATACATACAACCCAGACTGAAGAAAACAAAAACGCAAAAACCATCAAGATATGATGGCAAAGACAAACTCAAGATATGTTCCATAATATTTAAGCAACAGCAGTTAGGAAACAGAGGCACAGACCATTCTCTAATGTTCTTTTAAATGATTCTGAACAATCGCTTTGAACGCTCCTCACAAAACTGCCAGCCAAACGGCTCTGCACCAAGCCCAAAGAAACTATATCAGCAGCATTGACATAAAATGCAATTAACAACCACAATGTCTCACAAAAACATCACAAGAAGTTGCGATGAAATAAAAATTGTTAAGTCCTTTTCTTCAGGATTTGCCTTTCAATTTGATTATTTAGGCAACCTTTAGAAAATACAATGTTCTCTCAGTTTAATGGTCACACACAAGTGTGACATGGAACAGAAGCAGACCACTCCTCCTGGTCCCTTGACGAATGTGGGCTCATCTGTGAAGACATCTTGATAGTGTATTCTTCCGCATTCAGAACAACATCTGCAAGAAATGCACCAAATGATAACATTCACGAATTGCAAAGCTTGAGATAACTGGAATTACAATTTCAGAAGCCAAATTGGCCTAAATAACTGACGGAAGCAGTAGATATACTTACATGTATCCACTAGCATGATCACGGTCTACACGACAGTCCCTGACGCAGTTCGGGCACCATACCATTTTCTTGAGGAGATGAAACTGTCACTAATCAACTGAGGCACCTGAATATTCATAGATCAAAAGCGCATCAGAGCAATTAAGTTTCAAGTACAATAAAATTCAAGAGCTTTAGAAACCAAACAAGTATCAATCAAAATGAACCAAAATTCCTCAGGAAATGTATCATGCGAATTCTGAATTTGAATTATGCTCCCTCCACTTTATGCTTCCCAACTCCCGAAATAACCGTCCCTAAACACAAAAGCCTCGGCCCAAAAGACGGCTGGAGAAGAAAAATAACAACCAATAAAGGAACGCTTTAAGTCCTAATCCAACTACATAATTCAAAGGCACTGTTTAAAGAACTAATCTGTCTGAACCCATTTGAAATTCCCAGTTCTTGAACTTAAAAATTGATGGGAAAACAACCAATTTGAAGACACCTAAGTAAAAACATCAATGCATGGTAATGATATTTAGGGGTGAAACCAAAGTAAACTAAGAAATCTTTTACTGTATTCAGCAGAACACTTGTTTTCAACCTCAACTCTTTGAATTGTTTTGATCATCTTTAATTTCAAGAAGCCTAAGTAAAAACATCAATGCATGATAATGATTTTCAGGGGTGAAACCAAAGTAAACTAAGAAATCTGTTACTGTATTCAGCAGAACACTTTTTTTCAACCTCAACAATTTGAGTTGTTTTGATCATCTTTATTTATTTATTGTTTTGTACCTTCTTGAAGAAATGTTTTATGAAAGACTCCAGAAGTGAATCTTTAGTACAAAATGAAAGGTTCGAATCTTAAGCATGATCTCACATGGTTGGCTTTCAGTGTTCATGGCGGAGATGGACACTGTGGAGGAGAGCTGCCGGTGGAGCCGACATAGCCTTAGGAATGCGGATTTCGCCTGACACCAAATATTGGAAGACAAAGACGGTCGTTAGATTCGAGCCTCGACCTTCGACTCTTAAATATTCTTAGCGGTAGTGATAAGCTAGTGCAGCTAATAAAAAAATAAAAATCATTTACATAAACATTTTTAACGAATATTCAATTGAAAATTTGATAATAGGCATCAAAAACTACAATTTTGACAACAACAAATTTTCGGTGTGAGAATGGAAAATTGTTCAGTTGTTAACCAAATCGTTATTGGTATTTGGTACTTAACATCATGTAAAGTTTTTTTTTTTTAAATAACTTGCTTAAAAAAAATAATCAACAGGGAGGTATGGACAAATAGTGATCTTAAAAATTCATATGTATGTATATATTAATGCTGCTGAAAATCCCCTTCAACAAAAATGTTTTACTAGGCTTAATATGGAGGGAGAAGAAGATGTTTCTTCTTAATTTTTTTTCATTCATATGCTCTGATCATAATAAATGATTGAGATAATAGGAAAAAGAGTGATTGAGATGATAGGAAAAAGGGTGACGAGAATGGCACGAGATGCTGATAAAAGACACAATATATTAGCTCAAATGAAAAAAAAAAAATTACAAGCCGCTTTTTCATTTTCAGGTAATCAATTCCAAAAGCATATAAAAATTAACTTAAAATGATTAGTAATAGATTTATCAGCTTGACAAGTTTTTTGATTTTGTTTCTTAAATTCTAATGACCTTGTTGAAGACTTTATAATAAACAAAATGAGGTTTCAATAAATTGTATGCGTGGCCTAATTGATAAGACATTTCATATGTAATTAAAAAGTAACGAATTCAAGTAATCAAGAGGGCAAATGGAGATCACAATTAATCCTCTGTATATACTAGTGATTGGGACACACTCAATGTGTGTGCAATTTGTGAAACATATGATACAGTAAGACACATAAACACATGTACAATATGTAAACATAAAAAGGGCAAAATGCACAAAAAGATGAAATGTGAATGAGTTATAAATAAATTCTTTGGTAGGAGGAAAAAGATAACTAAATATCTTACTAATTTATAGCTGGGTGGAAAAAAATTATAAAAGAGAGTAAAAAAATAAACAGATTATTCAAGTAAATTGTATTCAATACTAATCGAGATCACAATAAAAAAAATGAGAAGAATACAACGAATCTAAAAGAAATTAGAAGAATCCTTAGGAAAATCCAACTAATCTTCAAATGTTTAAATGGCTACGATCACTCCTTTTTCCTTCCAACTTTCCTTGCATGTATCTTTTGGATACAAAAATCGTGATTTTTTTATCGATGGTGAAGAAAGAAGTGCAGCAGCAGATATACTGTAGTCTTCATGTCTTTCAAATGCCATGAGATGAACATGGACAAATCGAATCAAAATATCTGTATTGATATAGGAAGAGAAAATTGTATAATTATATTGTCATCATTTTGCCCTTAACAATAAGGCTAAGTTGATAATTCAAAAGGATGATATATTTTTTGAACACCAAACCTTGCTCACATTTTATGTATACAGTGAGAAAGGCACAGACTGTGCGTATATATACGCATTAAAAATAATAGGAGTGTATCTTTTATTCTTTCGAAAAGAGAGAAAGTTATTCATTGTTTTTGGAAGTTTTATTTGTAGTTGTAAAAGTGGAAGAAAGTGTTAAATTTTGTATATGTAGTATGTATCTAGACTCGCTAATATATACATTGTCAGTACATAAAAGATTTATCATTTTTTTAAGGATTAATATTTTCTACACTATCAGTGTATACACTGATAGGGTTTGATGAATATCACATTATCTGAATTTGAACTTGAACATTAAATTTTGTGCACGTGATATGCATCTAGACTCGCTAGTGTATATACTGTCAGTGTATAAAAGATTTACTATTTTTTAATATTAAACCCATGACTAGACACTATAATTGTAAAACGTATACATAAGCCGTAATGTTTTATAATCAACCATGTTTAGCTTGACGGCAAGCACAATATCGAGCACCTATGTAGAAAGGGATTTTTCAAGCTTAAGTTGGAGAATACTAAAACTACCTTAATGTCAAAAGTATTAAAAATTAGATTAGATTGAACTGAATTAATGAGGTAAGTCGGCTCATCAACGGGTACCATTTCAAGCCATTTATCCCTTCCTCCTCCCCAAACTATGATGCATTCTTATTATAGATTTGAGTTTAGATTCTGAATGGGGTTTTCTTTTAGAATTTAGTTCAGGTTTTGCATGGCTATGAATATTCCTCCTTTCAGAATTCAATGTCTTATGGTAGGAGAGAAAAGAAATTCAAGCATAATTAAATTTCATTCTCCATGGTGAAGTCACCTCTTCATTATACGGTTTTTAGTTAAATCCTCTCTTTTTCTTTTCGGATGTCACATAATCTAAATTACAACATGTGGATTGGAATCTTTGTAGTGTTAAAAAACTTTTAGCTTTAGCCATAATAACATCCTCTCTTTGTTTGCGTCTTGATTTGTTGTTAATTAAGCTTTAATCTGTTTATATTACTTCCACCAATTAGGGCTTGTTGTAATCTTGTAAAAAGCGTATTTCCATCAATCAATATAAAAAATTAAAAAACTACCAAGCTGGATTAACCTCCTCAAATACGAGATTCTTTTGCAAACAAACTTTGCAAGCATTTGTTTGATAAATTTTTGACATTTTAACATAAAATGTCCAAAATTTATCAAGATTGCCCACTTAAAGGATCAGATGCATTTCCGTTGAAACTTTGGATGTCAATTTGGTCCTTACCCGACAAACACTTTTTTCCTATAAAATTAGCAGTGATACGTGGAAAAATTGAGCAAACCAAGTTGCTATCTCCTTCTTGCACAGCTTTGTCGAATCTTGATCGATGGCTAACCGAAGGTTACTTTCTATCTTAACCTCTTTACTCAACTGAAGTAAGCAATTAATTTCACGCCACTGGAATCCTTAATTATTTCTCGTTATGAAGTTTTTGTTGAAAATATTTCCAGGTTAGAGAGAAAGATGGCAATAATCACCGGGGCAGCCAGTGGCATAGGTGAAGCAACAGCAAGAATATTCGTGGAGCATGGAGACTCTGTGGTGGTTGCCGACATTCAAGATGATCCCGGCCACCAGGTCGCGGAATCCATCGGTTCATGACAAAGCCACGTACAAGCAATGCAATGTGAAGAACGAAAAAGAAGTAGAGGAAACCGTAGCATATGCTATCCAGAAATATGGCAGTCTTGACATCATGTTTGGCAATGCCGGGGTCCCTGGTCTTAAAAACAGTATTCTAGCCATAGATGCTAAAGATTTCGACGAGACCATGGCTGTAATTGTTCGTTGTTCTGCCTTTGCTATTAAGCATGCGGCTAAGGCCATGGTGGCTGGAAAAATTCGCGGCTCGATTATGTGAACTGCGAGTACTGAAGCTACACTGTCTACAGGAGGTCCAGCTGCATATAAGGCTTCTAAGCATCTGTAATAGGTCTTGTTAAAGCTGCTGCAGTTGAGCCAGCTAGGAGAGTTTGGAATAACAGTTAATTGCATCTCTCCTGCGCGTATTGCCATGCCAATGGTGTCTAGTTCTTCGAGATTGGCTCCAGAACAGATTCATAGATTTCTAAGTTACCGAGTTAACCTCAACGGAGAATCCCTGAACGGCAGACATGTTGCTGAGGCTGCTCTATTTCTTGCCTCAGATGAATCTGCCTACATAAGTGCACATGATTTAGCTGTTGATGGTGGGATTAGTGCTAGATCAATCTATTTGAAGTAGTTTAACCATGTTGGTTGTGTCTTGTGTCAAAAAAGGTATGATCAGATCACCACAGGACATGCATTTGACCTCTTAAGAGTCTCGGAAGTTCAATAAAGATATTGTGCATTCCTTTTTCGAACTTCTCTAAATATTATTAAGTCGATCTTGAGCATCAAATTTAGTACTCGATCAAACTTGAGCTTCCCTAAAATTTTGGCTTTCTCCTAGGATCGCAAGATGAAATATTTAAACCCAAGAATGTTCATAAAAGGATCCTACAACTGCAGAAAAACCATGCCCGAAGGCCAAGCAGATTTTGAACACTTACCATCGGAATTAACTCGCAGAGAAGTAGGCTAAGGTATTTTTGGTACAAGAAAAAAGGTACCTTTAAGCATCAATTGACTCAAAAGATAGTAGAAACACAAAAAATAGCATTTAACACAGCAATTCTTTTTCCTTTTTCACAAAGATTTGCGACAAAACTTTTATTTAGTTCATGCTCATCGCAATAGTCCACACACAGGCCAAAAAGCAACTTAATTAATATGATTCGCAACGTCCACACAAAGCAAAACACTTGCTTTGGCAATTTTATGTTTGGATAAAATTGAGCGATCGACAACATTATCAGATTTCAAAGCTTCCTCACAATAGCCTAACTGGTCAGAAGCCACAACAGCATCATAACTTGCCAGTGCAGGATCATCCACCATATCCTTAGTTATAAGCAGCAACTCACGTATGCCCGCATCATAGTCAGAAATGCATTGTTTGAGAGCCGGAAGAAATTCTCCTTTTGCTGTATTACTATTCAACAAAGATGCCATGTACTCTTTGGTAATGTTTGCATATCTCACTGTTATATCTATCGAAATATGTAGGAGATCAACAAAACCTTTTGCCGAGGCACTCCTGGGATTTGACGCCAGAACTCTCATGCAAAATTCCCGGCCTTCTTTAGAACTTATTTTGTTGCAGAACTCCATAGCAAATTTGGATGATTCACTTGGTGCTGGAGCCCGTGTTGTTGCTAAAGAATGATCTTTTTCTGCATAGGCTGTTGGTGACTTGGTAATGAGGAATGTCATAAACGAAGCAACCCATGATACTAGATTTTTTTGAGACACCATGTTTTCGAGTTATGTGAGGTTAGAAGGGATTTGCACGAACCACCACAAATTTATAGTCTTATTCAACCAGTAGCATTGCATGTGTTTAAACTGTGATAACCATTATCATGGGTTCTAGCTCGAACTCCATGTTAACTGTTTGCTGCCAAGAATAGTATTGCCGTGATCAGGGAGAAGAGCTCCTAATGCAAAATTACCAAAACTCCTTTAAAGACCTTTTGGATAATTTACATATTTTGCCTATGATTAATCATTTAATTGAGTTCAAGCTTGAGCACCCTTTTCTTTCTTGAATTCCCTGAATATTATCAAGTCAATCTCAAGCATCAAATTTAGTACTCAGTCGAACATCTGCTTCAGAACGAGCAGGACAATATTTGTTCTCGACTCGTTTTGGCTTTCTCCGAGGGACGCAAGATGAAATATTAGTAAGCCCCAACAAAAAGCAGATTTTGAACACTTAATCATCTGTATTAACTTGCGGAGAACTAGGCCAAGGCATTTTTGGTACAAGAAAAAGGAACTCTTAAGCACTCAATTGACACAAAAGATGGTAGAAACAAAAAAAAAAAACATTTAACACAGTAATTCTTTTTCCTTTTTCGCATAGACTTGCAACAAATCTTTTATTTAATTTATACTCATCGCATAGTCAACAAAAGGGCAAAAAAGCAACTTAATTAATACATTTCGCAATGTCCACACAAAGCGAAACACTTGCTTTGGCAACTTCATGTTTGGATAAAATTGAGCCATCGGCAACATTATCAGATTTCAAAGCTTCCTCACAATAGCCCAACTGGTCAGAAGCCAGAGCCAGAAAAGCCTCATAACTTGCCAGTGGAGGGTAAAAACTCATATCTGTAGTTATCTTGAGCAAGTCACCTATGCCCGTATCATAGTCAGAAATGCACTGTTTGAGAGCCTCCAGAAATTCTCCCCCTGTTGCATGACTATTCAACAAAGATGTCATGTATTCTTTGGTAATGTTTGCATTTGTCACTGCTATATCTATCGAAATACGTATGAGATCAACATAAGTTTTTGCCGAGGCACTCCTGGGATTTGACGCCAGAACTCTCGTGCAAAATTCTCGTCCTTCTTTATAACTTCTTTTGCTGCAAAATTCCTTAGCAAATTGGTTTGGTTCACTTGGTGCTGGAGCCGGTGTCGTTGCTTCAGAATGATCTTGTTCTGCATAGGCTGTTGGTGACTTGGAAATGAGGAATGTCACAAACAGAGCAACCAATGACACTAGACTTTTTTGAGACACCATGTTTTCGAGTTATATGACGTTAGAAGGGATTTGCACGTTCCACCACAAATTTATAGTCTTATTCATGCTGTAGCATTGCATGTGTTTCAACTGTGATAACCATTATCACGGGTTCTAGCTGGAATTCATTTTAACTGTTTCCTCCCAAGAATAGTATAGCCATGATCAGGGAGAAGAACTCCTGAGTTCAAATCTATCATACTTTGCTCAACAACTTCTGGATTTTCCCATTTGGTGACCTTAAAGGCATGGATTAGACGTAGTAGTTGACATTTAATAACAGGTGTATACTTAGCTAAAATTTACGGCTTCCATTAGGCGTGTACTTGTAAGTTTTGCAGTTTGATTATAGAATTGGTATCTTCTCACTTCCATATTTTAATTCCTTCCTAGATGGTCAAGACTCAAGAGGCTAAAACTCATACACCACTGTCCTATCTCAAATGAATGGATACAACAGTTGAAGGAGGTGCTGATTTAGTTATTTTGACTGAGGTGCTTCAAAAGTAGGTAGGAATTGGAATTGAAAGGCGTTCCACCAAAAATAACAACACCTAAAAGGACATGGACGTTATTTTTCTCAATTCCTTTATTCTGTTGCTTCTCGGTGACTGCCACAATTATATTACATCTTCAGTTTGAAAATTGAACAATTGGGACGAATAGCGCTGGGATTCGGACAGAAGAAGCAAGTTTACTCAAAGGGAGGCATGAAGCAATTTTTGGACAAGGATCCCAGCAGGGTAATGTCGTCCCCACAGTATAGCCATGAGTTGTAAGTCATATCAAACCCCTAATTATATACATTATTGTATAGTTTGGCGAGGAAAAACATGCTGACAAACAAAATTCACCTAAAAGATAGTCTTTAATTAAAGCATTAATTGGCATTGATAAGAGTGTCGATGCTTTAGCATTCTTGGCATTGACAGAAATCAGTAACAAATGCTTGATCCGTACTAATTATGCTTTTAACCAACTTAATTTGTTTTCAAAGGGGAAAAAAAAAAAAACCAACTTAATTGGGCTACAGCCACATGAGGTGTTCAAACAAACTCCATGTATTAGTCGGAGTGTCGGACTGTTGAGAGGCACCACATGTCCACAACAGTATTTGGGCACCCACGTGTTGTTATTGCACAAGAAAATTAATACGAGGCGTGGCTGAATATAATCCTATGGTAAGTGGAAAGGATTAATCTTTGGTACAATAATGCCGTATAACTAGCACTGGACATGAATTTGATTAATTATTAGGAAACTTGCAGGTTCACCTAAAGATATTGTACATCTGAATTTTGAAGTATAAATGCCAACAATAATAGATTTAGAATATTTTCTTAGAATTCTTTAAAATTTCCAATTTTAAAGAATAATTACTTGGACTTCATCGATAGAGAATTATATCAAGGACAACTTTTCTATACAATGTTAGTGTATAATTTTTTTTTTTACACTTGCAAGTTTAGATCATGCTACACAGTATGAATTCAAATTTGAATTTTAAATCATGCACATGTGGATATATCCAAATCTGATTTGTAAAAAAATCACTACACAATCAGTGTATAAAAAACTTAATCCTTATAGTAATAGTCCTGTGGAATAACATACATTTACCTCTATGTTGTTTTAGTTTATAAAGTTTCGAGAACTAAATTTATTAAAACCTGTTGAGCATGTTTTCGCTTAGTTGAGCCAAAAATCCTTCGTACTTCACAAATTCACTAATCAAGTAATTCTTAATTGAAAGTCCTATGATTGCTTCATTTATTTCACTGACATGGACTAATTACGTATGTTATTTTAGCACTTTTAGATCCGGGCTTTTTATCAGTTTTATTAAGGAATCAAATTAAACTGTGTGCTAGCTAGTATGAGTCTTTTATAATGGAGCGAAGAGATCATCTTTTATGAGTCTTTTATAATTTAATCACTAGCCAGTATCAATTGCTCCATTCTTCTGTTTGTTTGAATTGCTAATTAATAATTGAGAAGAACCCAAATGGAATAACTGTAACATCCCGAATATTAGGAGGTTGTTTGTGAAGAAAATATTAAAGTGTATTTCTTTGGATTTGATTTAAAACCTATTTTTGTTTTAAAAAGACTAGAAACCCTAATATTGTAGCCAAAAACCCTAGTTTACTTGTGACTAACCGGTTTTCCTAAATCTCTCCTATTTTAATTGAAACCCTAATTTTAATTACTGGAATTGGAAAATTCCTCACGTTTTCTTAAAAATTTTCTTTTATTTGGAAATTATTATTTATTAAAGCTCTACTATCCAATTGTTTAACTATAAGTGCAGATGAACCTAGAAAATAGGGTTTTCCGCTTCGGTTTCAAGATTTGAGCAAAATTAGGGTTTTTCGATTTTCCATCGGATGAAATTTCGGTACTGGCTAAGGATCAATTTGATGATTAAAAGTGACTTTTAAGTGAGAAATAATATGTGAGTAGTAGCCATGAGATAAGGTTAGTGAATGGAAAGTAAAAACTCTAGTACGGGTGTTTTTAAGAAAAACGGCGCGAACCGGCGGGTCCCGCGCATTACCGATTGAACGCACCGCTTGACCACCATTTTTGCTTACCAAACAAATTTATTGAAGTTGAACAAAATATCTTCCCCCTCATGATTATAGCTTGACCGAAATTGTGGCTCAAATACAAGGAAAGAAAGAGAAAAATTTTGTGGACAAGAATAGGCCAAGTGTTGGCCAAAAATTGTGGACACAATTACCCTTAACCTCTTACTTCTATATAAGACAAACCAAGCCTCATCTTCCTCCATATTTCTGCATAAGAACCGAGAGAGAGAGAGGGGAGGAACAACAAGAAGAAAAAAAAAAACTCCTTCATTTCATCTTCAATCCAACAACTTAGGGAGAAATCAAACAAAATAAACCGATTAAACTTGTTCTTGAGTGACTAGCTAGTGAGTTGTGGTGTGATTCTTGAAGGGGAGAGCTTGTGCTACTCTTGGTGACTTTTATTCAAGGTAAGAGAGTTTATCTCTCCAAGTTTTACTTCTAATCTTGTTATATTAAGCCTAGTAACTTGATTTTATGGTGAGATTATGGATGATGAGCATGTTTTAGTTGTTTTCCCCAATTTATTTGATGAACTAGGGTTCCTGATTTTCTGCTCAAGTTGATGTATGATGCATGAATGTTGCAATTAAAGTTATATAAGGTTGTTTAGTGGTGATTGGAACCAGAAATTTGAGGAAACTACACTTAGAGCTAAAAATTCCAGATTTCTGGAAAATTTCCCAAGCATTCTGTCCGAAATTGTATCTGTATGTTAGAGGCCGAATTGGCCTTTTGTCAAAGAAGGAAAGTTGTAGAGAATGGTGTTTTATAGGTGCCTACAAAATTTCAGCTCAATCGGAGCAACGCTGAACGTGAAAAGTCCAAAATACCCCTACTGCTTTAAGAATTTCCCAGTAGTCCGTTTCTTCAGTTCAGTCCAGTTTATCATGATTTTTGACCAGGATCCATTCGGATTTAGCTCTGGACCAAAACATGAAAGTTGTAGTGCTCTGAAGTAGCTTTAAAATGCCTCTAAGAACACCTGATTCGGACTTGTGTACACTGAGTTATGTCCATTACAGTGTTCTGCATTTAAACAGCCGGTGAATTGATTTCAGGTTTGGTAATTGGAGAATTTGACCAATTTACATTAGAAACTGGACTAAGTGACCTTCATGAACATTGTAGCT